GGGTCCGTGCGCATGTCCGTGGCCTGGTCTCAGCATGAATGAAATGGAGGGGATCTTTGGGCTCGTTGGCAGCAAGTGTCGGTGGAGGGGGGCTGGCGGATGCACGGGGGGGGGAGGGTTTCTATTCTGGACTGCTGACGGGGGCATGGGATCACGGGGCCTGGCATCTGACCTGCACGCCGGCCGGTCGCGGATGATGATGGTTTTTGCAGCTGAGGGCCATTTGGCCCCGAGAGGCCTGACGGGCCGCGACATGAGGAGCCCGTCTGTCATCGCCCGCCAGTGCGACAGAGCCCGGCCCGGCCCGGCCTCCACGGTTCTGCCGCTCCTTAGCCTGGATTATCCGCCTTCCCGATAAGGCAGGCGCTTCTTTAAGAAGCCATGTTTCGCCATATTGGACAAAATCTCCCACAGCTTGAGGACGAGCAGAGCCAAATTACAAGATTATGCTTTTATGTGGAATTAAGAGACATTTGTTCTGACGGCGGGGTCCATTTGGCAGAGACACTTAGCATAGTTAGCCCCTAGTTAGCATTACACTTCCCAGACAGCCTCTGGAAAATCAGTATGTCTCAGAACTGTACTGTTTAATACATTTCTTGCACGTTCCTAACCTGGCGCTCTCATAAACATGGCCGACTCTTTCAGGACCCTCCCATGGCTGTCACCTTGGGGCTGCGCATGGAGGAGATGATTTTCAACTTGGCTGATACTCATTTGTTCTTCAATGACCTGGAGGTGAGCGACACCCACAGTAACTGCCCATTCTGTCGGTGTCACGTGACCACGCAGTCGATCATGTGACCACATCATTAAACACATTGATCATGGGTCATACTCACTATTCACATATTCACTCACTATTCCCTATATAGCCAGATCTGTGTAGTATATAGGGAATAAGTGAAACAAAATGTCAGACATGACGTTCCAAGACTACTTTAGCATTCTAGCAACCTGACATTTGCAAATTGCAAAATACAAGGGAAACGACTGAATATTGATATGTATGCATGAGATTTATTGAACATTAGTTTACTAATTATTTAAAATCTGAAATGTCTCTGCAGAGATCACTAATATCTCTAGTGTACATTTAGTGTACAGTAAAATTCAAAGTGCATTGTGGGTATTTTATTGTGCACTCTATACTGAGCCAGATTTGCCATTGAGGATTCAAACAGCAGTGCTACTTAACTATCATACACCATTTAGAGGGTATGCAGCGATTTTGAATACAGACCATCTCTCAACTATCCCATTTGAGTATCCTGTACTTCCCTTTGTTGCCGATGGTGACTCACAATGAGAACTCATTGTGCTGAACTGGTAGGAGGAAAAAAAACACTTAATCTGTGAACATAACTGTGAGCTAAACAGAGAAAAAAACCTCGAACTCGGCGTTGTGTAAACATTATGCTTTGTTAGCGCGCAAGATTTATGCCTGAAATTTAGTTTGGGGGTGCGAACCAGTTGATACATTCCCCTGTAATTAGACCCACGAGTAAGGATGCACTTTGATCGCAGTTCCAGTGACGTGATGCATTCGAGGAACCTAGCAGCTGAATGCGGACTCGCAAATGATTCTCACAGTAGCTGGCATTTAACCGTGTTAAATACTGCCCTGGATTCACTGTTTTAAAGTAGCCTTGGGGCAGCATGAGGATTACACTTCCTCAAAGTGCCCCCCCCCCATCCCTAGCAGGATGATTGACAGGCCAGCTAATAACAACACAGTGTTGGTTTAGCTGCTCAGGTGCTCGGTCGCTCTGATGGGGAGCAAATTAACTCTGTGCCGCCCTTCGTTTAGCTAGTGCCCGTCTCTAGCTGAAAGGGGGGGCAGCCTCTTATTTGACAGCGCGTTCGAGGTTCCCTTCCTTCTCCCAACATGCTGTGTTCAGTCGCGTTCAGGCCTGTTTCATCAGGGCCGGCGTTTCGGTGTGGATATGCTGCCCCTGTCTGGCTTGAGCCTGACTCACTGCTGGTAACCCGATACAGGCCTCAGGCTGCCAAAGATCAGCAGGGGTCTGGCTGGGGGGCGGGGGGGAGGGGTCACCCGGGGTCTCCTAGCCCCCGCAGAAGAACCGCTTCTCAGACTGACAGGCGACATTACCTTGCAGGAATGTGACCAGGTCCACATCGACGACGTGTCGTCTGACGACAATGGCCAGGACCTCAGGTGAGAAATCCGCAGAGCTGCAGCTCATCCAAAATGTTTGATGCATGCTGTTTGATGAAGAGCAGTGTTAATGTACAGAAAATACTGTTTTCACACTTTTTTATCAAAGAGTTATTTCTTATGCACTCTTGTTTGTCGTTTTATGTCATGAAGTAACTTTGATGTATTAACTAAAAAGTAAAAACAAGTAAAAAAAGTATTAAAATGACATGCATGTTAGTATTTATTTGTAAAGGGATTTAGGCAATCTAAGTCTAACAGCATTAAAATAAAACATCATTATTATTATTATTATTGACAGTACTTACAGTTTTGCAACTGATGGCTTCCATGCAGCTGCAACCAGCGCTAATCTCTGCCTAGCAACAGGCGTGAGAGGTGGGGTGGACTGGATGAGGAAGTTGGCATTTCGCTACCGAAGAGTAAAAGAGTTGTATAGCACATACAAAAACAATGTTGGGGGTAAGCTCTCGCGTGCCTGTGTTAGTGATGACTAGGGGTCACGTAGCGTATTCTAGAACCGCGTGCGTCATTGATGGTTGCTTTGAGTAGGTTCTAGGATGATCACATGTGGGACCAAAGATGCAAACGTAGGTTTAGTTACTAGGCTAAAAGTTAATATGTTGAAAGTCAGGCTCAGAAGCAGCTAGCGGCAGTGTCAGACCTCGTAGCGTAGCTGAGAACGTTAATGGTTTAATGCCTCGGGTTTAATGCACTTAGCTCTGTGGTCTAAAGTGAATTTTGCAGCAGATTTAGGAAGCACCAAAGCATTAAACCCAGGGACGTCAAACCCTGGTTCATAATTAGAGTCAAGATTCACCTGTGTTCAATGTTTTAATGTTTTCTACATCTGTGGCTAGAAATCAAAGAGCATTTCCCCGTTTATCTTTAGCGAGTGTTCGTACTTGCGTTTCCCTTAATGTACAGCTATCGATAACTTCAAATGCCTAAGTTACTAGGCATAGCAGTGGCGTACGTGATGCCTTTCTGGTTGGAGGGCGTAGGCCGGTTCTGACTGGCCCCGTTGTGACTCAGGCTTACTCGGACCAGCCAAGCGGGACGCGTGGCTGCAGCTACGGGCCGAAGTAGAGGCCCTAACGGACTCGTGGCTCACCAGCGCACTCAAGTCCCTGTCGATCATCAGCTCCAGGTAGATGGGAGATGAATATGAGTGACATCAGGCTTGGTTGATATCAGCAGAGGATCTAACCCTGTCCCCCTTCTGCAGGAGTAATTGTGTCAATGTGTTGGTGACGACGACTCAGCTCATACCGGCGCTGGCTAAAGTGTTGCTTTATAGTCTGGGTAGCGCCTTTCCCATCGAGAACATTTACAGCGCCACCAAGATCGGTAAGGAGGCGGCTGGGCGCTGCCACGGCCGGGGCGCCTGAGATTTTGTTTTTCTTTCCACTTAAGCATTAAAGGAGGAATCTGCTCCACAGTTTATGGTTTGTGCCTCATCAATCTCTGTAACTCAGAGAGGACAGTGGGTGGCGTGACGGTTAAGGATCCTGGGACAGAAATGTTGCCAGTTCAAATCCAGCAAGACTATCCCTGGGGGGGGGCGTAAATTCTAAACTGGCAGCTGTATAAATGAGCTTAATGTTGAGTTAAAGTATCTGCTGTGAAATTAAATAATAGTGCAAAATAACTCCATGTCCGGCTATGTCCAATGACAAGCTGCCCAGGGGACGTCCATTTCTCTGCCCGCTATGTGGTGGTTACCATGACTACTGCTTACCGAGTGACACACAGCAGCAGGACACCACGAGGGCTTTTGAAGGATATGCTGAAAGTCTCCATTTATACTGAAGTGCATTTAAAAAAGGGGGAAACCAAAACACGTTTGGTATCAAAAACCAGACTAGCAGGAGGCTTGAGAAGTCATAACGTTCTACAGACACAACAACATTTCTAAAATGTTGTCTCAGTACTAATAAACAAAATTAAAATCACTCGTTTCCCTAAAATCACTAGTTTTCCTGTTTTTTCTGTTTCTCATTTGTGGGGAATGAGATAATCACCCAGAGGAAATAACAGCACGTCGTTGAACAAATGCTCACAGTTACATCAATGCATCTGTCATATTTCCCTTGTCTTTGACATTCTGAAAGTGGCACAGTTTGCATCCCACCTTATGCAAACAGGATAACACGGCGGGGGGGGGGGCGTTGATGTCCACATTCGGGCTTCTTACTGTACGCTTTCAGAAGGTCACATGTCACATCTCTCCCTTTGTGGGGGGGGGGTGCCATCTGTGTTTACTGTTGCCATTCCATTTGAGAAAACCCCATCTCTTCTCGTTTGAACCCTGTGCAAATGGGAAAGGTTAAGAAGTGCGTTGTTTTTCCAGGAAAAGAGAGCTGTTTTGAGCGTATAGTGTCCAGGTTTGGCACTAACATAACATATGTTGTCATTGGCGACGGGCGGGATGAGGAGCAGGCGGCAAGCCAGGTAAAGATCCAGCTGAACTCTTCCTTGTTTATCTTCCAGGGAAAGAGAGTTGCTTTGAGCGCATTATGCAAAGGTTTGGCAGAAAAGTAGTGTATGTTGTAATTGGTGATGGTGTGGAAGAGGAGCAGGCCGCCAAAAAGGTAACCATTCTGCGGAATGCTGGTGTGCCGTTCATAGTGGCAAGCTTTGACCTCTGTCCTCACGTGGCGTGCCGTCTCGCCGACGCGAGCGCTCACCGCTAATAGAGACCACGCCGCCAGATTCGCCAAGGTCTCAGCATACAGACACCCCTCCTTTTGGCCACGCCCCCAAGTTAGCGCATAGCTACTTATATAACGCACATACAAATCAATGCATTTTACATAAACTGGTCTTTTAACAATTATCATTGTGTTATCTTCATGCCATACTAATCACTCGTTAGTTTCCATACAAGTTTATTTTCAAAAATGATACGGTACACCATGGACGGCAGAACCAGCAGGGGTCACCTGAACTGGGTCTCTTTTGGACAGTCTTTCAAAATGCAGTAATGATTGATCATGAAAAAAATAGCTACATTAATGTACTGCAAACCGATTAAAAATCATACAATGCTTGTCCACATTAATCAGAAGCAAATACTGATTACCTCATATTATTGGTATTTTAATTGATTTAATGCAAAAACTGTTTCCAACACGTCTCAGATGCTCAGTGTAGCAAATCCATGCCCTGATAAAACTGCTCCAAGAGCTAATTAACATACTAAATACAACATTTGATTAATTATCTGGGGTTGTCATCCCCTCCCAAAAAAAGAGTTCCAAACGGCACACAGCCAGCATGTATAAGGAAGAGGGCATCACTAGGCAACAGACACATCATCCTCCCCAGAGCCTTGCTGTAATCTGGGCCGCGGCGTCTCTATTGCGAGTTTGGCATAGAGCTGTGATATAGCGCCTTTGCTCTGAGCCACCTGACAGGCTCTGCCTTTTGCTGTCACCGAGCACACATCCCCTCAGTGTGCTGCAGGAAAAACAACACAGGGTGATGGACTTGGCCTAAACAGCGAGTTATGAACCCCATCTGGCCCGGTTTCTGTGGTTTAAAAGTCTGTTCCTCATAAGATCGTTTTGAAACTCAATACAACTAAAAATCCCCGATGGTTGAAGTTTGTGTTTATGTCACCATGTGTTGATTCTGGTCTTGGCCCTGGACAATGAAGATCTCCAAAGCTTATACCGGTTATAATGGAACCAGCAGAGGAATGGTGCAATCCTGTTTTGCTAGTGTTGCAGGAACATTAAAGATAAACAGTATCCTGTACCTGTAATGTCCTTATGCTGTGTGTGTGGCTGTCCTGTAGATGCCGGCCTTATGACTCCTCTGTTTCCGTCCCGTTTTTCTTCATGGGTGGTGGGACATTTTGGTTCCTAGGTTTGCATGCGAGTCTGCAGTGCTTTTTTGTGAATGGGTTGGGGTGGCACCCACCTTGCATGATGAAGGGGGGTGGAGTAGCCCCTGACTCACGGAGCCTAACTGCTGTTTGTCCCCCTGCCACAGCACAACATGCCGTTTTGGAGAATATCGAGCCACTCCGACCTGCTGGCACTGCACCAAGCACTGGAACTAGACTACTTGTAATTGTATCATAAAGCTGGAAGCTCCCTTTTTTTATATATTTAAAACAGTACACTGCAACTACTTTTTTTTTCTCGTCTGTGATTTTGAACCCCTGGCCTCCACGAACTGTCTCGAGAAGACAAGGACTCAACTTCTAAGCAGCAGTTACAGAAGGAGATCCTGGTGTGTCTCAGACTCCCCACCCTGTTCAAGGTCTCGTTCTCAGTGTTTGTATCCTTTCCAGGAGAGGTGTGATAGGCACTGCTCAGTAGATGACGTGAAATCCCCCCCCACCCCTCCCATCGCTTCCTGGAGAGATTCTAGTGCTTTTGCCATGGACTCCAACCCCCAGAGCTTCAAAACAAAACTGGCCCTCGTTACTCTCATCCCAGCTTATACCGCACCTACCTACCGACTCACCTACCTGCCCCAGCGAAACTAGCGATAGAGCTGCACAGAGTATGACAATCAAGTCTAGATTTACCATTTTGTGTAAATTATTTTACAGTTACTAGTTTAATGTGGACGTGGACAAGTTTGGAAATTAAGACTTAATTTTATCTCTTTTGTAAGTTTCTGCAGAGAACGTGCATAATGATTTGTTGTGCCTTAAAGTGTGTTCATTGTAATTTTGTTTTTAAGAACATGTAGATTTAAAAAAAAAAAATCTTTGTGATAATTTTTTTTGACCAAATTTGCTGAGTGTGAGGTTGGCGGTTCTGGTTGCTGAGCCGTCGAGCCCTTGGCTGAAGCCAGATGGAAAAATAAAGCGGTTTGAGTTAATTTGCTTCTTTCTTCAGCATTTGGGGAGCTGAAGACCGTCAACAGCAGTCTATGGAGTGATACTGCATGGTGGCATGACTTCAGGGACAGCAGTGCCAAAACACACCCGCGCCCTGCACTTATTTAAAAAAAAAAAAAAAAAAAACAGTATCACTGCTGGTATTCTTTGTGACATCCACAGGGAAAAATGGACACACCTAACAGTTAGTGAGAACCATGACCCAGAGCAACAGAAAACCAGTCCGTCAAAACCATACAGCGCACACTCTGTTCTTTCCCAAACTGCTCCTTTAGTTCTGACACTGTATATCTTATTTTTAAATCCCACTGTGTCACAGCAAGGTAAGTAAATACATCACTTATGCATGCAGCTTTAAATAGTTTGTTGTAGGAACTCTTACTGCCACAATATTCAGAAGTGCTGGAACTACTTTTTTCTTTTTTTGCAAGGTTACTGTCTCAGGATTGCAGCCAGAGGGTGGCGCTGTGGCCTCACAGCTTCACAGTTAGGGACTGCGGCAGCTATAGATCGTTTGCAGGAGAGACGATTGGTGAAAACGGCTGCCCACTGAGGAAAGATTAGGGCAGCCACTGACTAAGTGTGCAAAATAAATGGCATTCTCAAATTACAGTTTGGCTATGATGTCTTATTGTTCATGTTTTTATAGGAAAATTGAGTACAAAATATTCTCATTTCTTCTAATCTTTCGACAAAGTTATACATATGACCTCAAGTTTCATTTTTCCCCCAATTAGACGGCACTCATTGATAGACAGCAGCGATCCAGAACAGCCACATCTTACACTCTTCATCTTGGCTACTAATGAACACTTGCATGTCTAAGACACTGGCAGGGATTGAAAGTGATTTCTTCCACGACCAGCTTTAAAGTTCAACAAAATGAACTAAATCATTTCAAATGTACCAGCGAAACACCAGAAACACAACGAAAACAATTCTGATTACAAGACACATCTATTAAGTTTCGCACACTAATCGTGAAGAAGTTTCCACGAGTCAGGTTAGCCTACGAAAACTCAATCGGAGGATTAAGCCCAATGGAGCTTCTTGTGTTCTGCTACACACCTCGACGGCTGCCCTCGGCTTTCACATCTGCATGTATAGAGTTTGCATGTCTCCATGTCACACGGGGTTCAGCCCCTTTGGGTGAACTGGTCACCATTAAGGGTGTAGCTGGCATCCCACGCAGGCCGATTCCCTGCCTTGTGCCCTATGCCGTGTGGGACAAGCTGCAGTCGGCCATGCATGACCTGCACTGCATTAGCGGCTGCAAGACAGATGGCGACAGATGCAGTTACCGCAGAGATTCCAGGGAGAAGCCATCACCTTAAAGTGAATTACTGTATGACATTATAAAACCTTCACGGGAAATTCAAACTGAAGTCACAGCTTAATCCGTTAGACAAACCACTTCATTAAAAAAAAAATCGGATTGTGTTCTATACAAACACAAGTTTACATCTTTAAAATTGGAGTGCATTTGCGTGAGGTAATTAGGGCAACCAACTGCCCAGGCTTAGACACGGTCTGCTGTTAATGCACCACTAAAAGCATTTTAACACCCCAGATCTCCCAGCCGGTGGAACCCTCTCCCAACACACCACACAATCAGCTTCACTCCAAAGGCTTTTATTCACATCTTATTTCTTAGCCTTGAAATATTCCTCAATGACGTCCTTGGCTTGGGACTCCTTGCCGTAATCCTAGGAAGGGGAGGGGGGGGAATAGAGATTCAAAACACCCAAGTGAGCTCAGTGCAGTAAAAGGATCTTTCACAGTACATGAAACATTGGCATCAGCTCCCACAATTGTATGTAAGATAAACCGAGTACCTCAAGGTCCAAAATGCAGTAACTCACAAGCCATGTCACCAGAATACAGGAGACATTAAACCACATACCCTTACCCACCGATACCCAGAAGCTGAACAGGAAACAAGCCCCGCCCAGAGTCACTGAGATCAGGTCTCACGCCTCACCTTGACGACGACGCAGCTGCAGCCCACCACCTTGCGGGGCTTCCCTTCCCTGTCGATCTTGCAGAGCCCAACCCATTCGCCCAGCTTCTTGTTGTCATCAACCTGTGGGAGGCAGTCAGCAGATCAGCAATACTGGCAGAAGAAGGGTTCAGGGACCAACTGCATACGAGCTGCGTCTCAGGAATAATTGGGTAACGATGGCAGTTCTCCTCACCGATTTCAGTAGAGGGAGCCAAGTTATCATCATAGATGCAGCAAATTAATTTACCTATTTACACTGGACGAGACACCTTGGCAACTGCCGTAAACAACGCTATTCTCTACGGCAGTATTACTGCAAGCCAATCAGATGTACTGAATTAAGTCCACCCCATGTCTCATACACAGCTTAGAGATACAAGGCTTACCTTGATGAGGTTGATCTGGTGTTCAGCACACAGAGCTTCCACCAGCTTTACGTACATGGGCTCATCGCAGTTGGCAGCAAGGACACAGAGGTGGGCCTGCCGCCTGCACGCAGAGAGAGATCCGGTAACTCACCACAACCGTGAAGCGTTTTCACAGGCAAGCTAACCTCCCAAGCGCTGCACATTAACTGATTTACTACTCGTTACAGATCTCAGACACTTTGGGTAACGATGGCAGTCCTCCTCATACTTTTTCAGTAGAGGGAGCCAAAATATCATCACAGATGCAGCGATGAGTAGTCAAGACACCGGCGAGCCATGCAGGCAAAGGAGGGCAGCACGAACAAAGCACCGCGATACGGGAAGCCGGCCGCACACGTACTTGTCCAGGGCTTTGGCAGCTTCACGGATCCCGCGGGCCAGACCATCGTGGATGAGTGCGGTCTTGAGCACTTCCGGGAGAGCGGTGTTGACATCCATCACACCTCCGGCTGCGATGCTTTGGTAAAAAAAAAACAGCAGGGGAGAGATGAGCGATGCAACGTGCAACAGACCTTTAAACAAACGGTGGAGAGACCACGGCCTCGTCAGACAACGGCTATCACTCATGATTAAGAGTGAAGGGGTATCCGACTAAAGAATAAAAATCATCATTGCAATGCCGTGACAATGTACACCTGCTTGTTTACTACGCATACCAGTCGGCCACACGGTAGGAAGAGCTCAGCATTACCAAGCGCGGTTTTCAAAATGTTTAAAAACAAAATGCAACATTACAGAACCAACACAAAGTTCAAAAGAAAGTCGCCGCTTGAAAATTACAGCTGAGCTGGCGAGTTTAAAGAAAGCGCCATTCCCCATGTAACTTATAACTACTAGGTACTAGAAGACCTAACGAAACAGTCACACTTACCCTTCCTCGGCCATTGTGATTTATCGATGGATGCTGGACCTAAAGTTCTAAAATAGAAGAATAGATGGGGAGATTTATTGACCCTAGCAATGTATCAACTTATACGACCGCGTTAAAAATGCAGATGTTTTGTATTTTTTCATGATTACACCGGACATCTAAGAAAACTCACCCAGACCTCCTTTCTGATAGCGGGGAAAGAGGACGTCATTTCGGCGACGTAAGTCATTTAAATTCAAAAGGACCCCTCCATATAGGGTTACCGTTGAAATGCCTGCAAAACCATCCAAACACGGTTTTACTTTTAAAATTATATATCATTTTCAATTATATTTATATGCGGTTACATAAAATATGCTGTTGATATCGTATACCAATTTTGGTGGAATATCAAACGATTTTTATTTTTCGGAAAGTTTAATACGTTTTTAACACACGAGAACAGTACCCTGTAGTTACCACATGGGGGAGTACAGACCTGCATTCAAGAATTCAGTTTTAATAACCGAGTATTAAGGGACATTACCGGATATCTCGTTGCAAAAGAAGATCTATTTGCCGAAGCTCCTAAAACATTTCATTCCTGGTGAATCTAACCACAGTATAGTTTCGTTCGGGAATTATTATTGTGTAATTAAATTTTATATAGCCTTGTTTTATTACTTATTTTAGAAATTTTAAAATATTTGCCGTTCTGCAACATCATTTGAAATTTGCAGCTTTCATTTTCCCTGTGTCATGTATTATTTTAGCCAAGTCGGCTGCTTTAATATGTTATCTGACTTTAAGAACTTAAAAATTTCACAAGAAGCCTACCTCACGAATAACAGGCCACAAGCCAGTGGAAGACCCTGGACAACAGTCCATGGCAGGGCATATGCACTATGGTCAATTTAAAGACTCTGGTACAAGTGCAACATTGGATCAAACCAGAGTCCCCAGAGGGTGGGATTCAGACCATGAAAGCTACATGGAGACAGTACTTCCTACCAAGCCACCATTTGTCTTGTTTGTTATTAAAACTGTTTCACTGGAGACAAACTTTTCATACATTACTTTCAAGCATTTTACAAAGAACATAGACTATGAAGTGCTACAAAAGATATTAAAAAAGAAAAGTGGGGAATGAAAAATTGATGAGTAAAATTTGAGTGACTCAATGTTTATTTGTGCTACATTGCATGAAAATCTTTAGTGGCCAATGGCTAGAATAGCTTGTAACATCGATGCAGACGTGTGTGTTGCTCAAAGTGAGGTGTGTAGGAATTGGGCAGAAGAGAACAGTTATGTGGAAATGGACAGTTGTGGATTGGGACAACAGGAGAGGAGCAATGAGTTCCATGCTGTTGTGGGAATGATAGTACTATGGATTAGATGGGTGTGGTCAACAGGTGAGCAGAGTAATGGGGCGTGACTACTGCATAAACCTGTTCTCCTGCTCTTACAACAGCAGTGTCCAGAAGGAAAGCTCATTTTGAAGTTGCTTGCCTGCCAGGATGTCTCTGAAGATCTACTTCAGCAGTGCCAGTGGCTCCAGAGAGGTAACTATTCCACACGATCGCGTTACTCTTTCTGTCAGGCAGTGTAATTTCACATTCCAGCTGTGTAACACCTTTTTTTTTTACTCCGGGAACTTGGAAATGTTCAATTTTCTTCCCAAGGTGAAGCAGCAACAGAATGAGATCTTCCAATATCTGACTGCAAGGAATGTTAAGTATGAGGCAGTTGACATCTGCCAGACTAACAATCTGAAGGAGGAGATGAGGAGGCTGTCAGGCAATCCCAATGCCATGCCTCCCCAGGTGTTTTTTGACAACGTTTACTGTGGCGTAAGTAGAGAATTGTGCGCTTTACTCCTGAAAACTCAGATGTTCCTCTATGAGGCCTCTGCTCTGCAAATAATTTTATTGAACCGAAACTGCTGTTTCAGCTTATTAACATAGGTCCTGCTGCATGTGGGTGAATAAAAGACTAATTTCCAGCTCATTTTATAAGTAACACCCAAAAGGAGAGTGTTTCACTGGGCAAGACGAGTCGTTCTTGTTCAGGTGGTTCTGGAATCTTACCATAGAAGGACACATTGCCAAAGGGACACTCCCAGTTGCTTCCAATCTGCAAACATTTCTCACGCCCTGTCTGGAAATATTCAAGGTGCCTCTGAGTTTCTGTGATGTGGTTAATCTTCCCCCCTTAAAAAGGGTCACTAATAATTTTATGTGTTGCATGTCTGTTTCTCCTTTATGGATAATATTGCTAACATTTGCTCTGTTTTCAAGTTTGCTCAGTGCATTCACACCCGCTTGAGGCTTCAGTTATCAAACTCTTTGAATGATAATGAAATGCAGCTGATGTTAGCTTTGGATGTTTTTTTTTTTAAAACAAAAGAGTCTTATTTGAGGTATACGTTGAGGCCCTGTAAATATTGGATTTATCAGCAATGTTTGTACAGTTGGGTACACTGCAGAGTTAAGCAGAAACTGCAATTAAGGGTGACAGTCTGCTCTGTATCTTTGCAGGACTATAACAAGTTTTTTGAATCTGTGGAGGACGACAAAGCAGATGCCTTTTTTAAATTGAAGTGAAGCCTGTGAATGACTTAATAATCTTCATTTAAATGATCACTGTGATATGCATTGGGAAGATGTACATATCAATTGAATGATTTACATTTGGCAATGAGAAACAATGAAAATATTTTATATTCCATTTAACAAGAGTCTGATTTCAATCAATTGAAGAAACTGTATTCGTAAGAAGGACAGAATGAAAATTCTGCTCATTATTGCATAAGACCATTTTTAGTATTGGAAGTAAACTGGAGAGACAAATTCCCTGTGTGTATGTGTGTGTGTGTGAACATACTTGGCCAATTCTGATTCTATTGACCACATTTATCAGTTATAAAAGGTGATGATTTAATTCAACAAGGTCTCTTTCAGACTCGCATATATAAACTTCTCTCCGAAAAAAACAAGACAGGATTTGAGATTCAGAGAAGCCTCAGTGTGGTGCTGCTCCTCTAGATACTGCTAAATGTTCCAAGCTCTAGGTGACCTGCCCTTCTGGACCAGTGTCTGCTTCAGCCCATCCTGCTCTTCACCATGACCATCAGCTAATCTCTCTTGGTTCCCTAAGCCACAGGCTCTCAGATGCCAGCTGCTGGCACAGATTTTACACATAGCCATACAGCCATGAAGTGAAAAGACTCTACAATGTATTTCACCCTTCGCTGGTGTTACTGGAATCATTTACTCCTGTATTGTTTTAAAAGTATCTCTTTTTGGTGACCATCTATCAGATAACTCCCAGGAATTTGTGTTTAGGTCTCAAAAATACATGCCGAAATGTGAATTTACTCTACAGGGGAATACAATGGATATGATGTATTTTTCATAATGAATTATTATGCGTTACACATCAAGAAGATGCCAGCAAGCTACTGACACATTTGGAAATGTGAAGTTTTTAGAGCACCTGATTCAACACAAGGTGGCAGGAGTGAGTCATATCACAATCCACACGTTTTATGCAGCTTCCAGCTCTGCATCGTCGTCACAAATGAGAGAAAATGTACCACCGTGTCGAGTAAAAGAAGCGGGGCTGCAAAACCGCGCGGATTATGTTGTCTCGGGGGATAGTATTTAGCAAACATATTTTATAACAGACCCCGCTATCTTCTGCCCTGCCCCCAAACCTTCACCTTCAAAACATTATATAGATGTTGCTAAAAACAAAACACTGCAGTGTACAGTGAAGAAAAAAAAGCAGAAGCGCTCGGTGGTGAAAGAGGACTGTAAGCTTCATGTCTCTCCAGCCACGGAATGAACGCGTAAAGCAAGAATGAGACAGGCGGGACCTTCACGCACAAACATTCACTTTATTTTCTCGATTCTTTATTATTAATGGCAGACACAACGACAAAGAAGAAAACAGCAATGCATCAAAGGAGAGCTAGGCGGCGCAGTGACCGAAGCTGGTTAGCCGCTACATTTCTGGCTCCCGGTTTATACTATCGTTCATGCATCATTAGGGCCACAAAGCTCACAGCAGATAAAAACACCGTGTCAGCAATGAAGGATAACACGCCACTGAGTAAGGCACACCGCTCCCAACATCTCACACTTAAATGTGTCATTTCCAATCATTATCTTTATTTTCATATATAATTGTGAAAAAATACAAAGATAACAAAATAAACAGATTCTGACAGAACGCTTGTCCATGTTACATTTAATATATCACATTAATATAGACTTTTGATTCTATCATATTCATTACAGAATAACTGAATAAACCACATTATCTTTATAATAATATATCATCAAAGCAATTATAATAGTAACACTTTGTTGCATACGATTGACTTTTTATGACTAACCAACCCTTGGAACCAGCAGTAAACAATCATGTTATCAGTAAAATTCATCACTGTGATTTAGTAGTTTTACCTTCATATACAGTATTAAATTGAATGATTAGTATTTAAAACTTCTTTACTGCATTAAGTGCACAGTGGAGTTTAACGTCTGTCTTTGGTTTTATGGACGGCTGACCGATCTCCTGTTCAGAACCGTTAGCTCCTGTGGTGTAAAAACCCCTCGTTTGCTGAACGACTTGTGCTGAGGTGCTGTGACTATTGGTGTTTCACAGGCCGCTACATGCCAGTACGCCAGTCCCCGCAGGACAGCAACTTTCCAAGAAGGTCCAAAGACGGAAGGAAGACACGAAGAAGCTGTTTCACATTACGGATGTCCTGCCTTTTGATTCGTCTTCTTAAGTGATGAGTTCATATGTGGAAGGGAATCGAGTTTTATGAACTAGCTGATTGACTGAATGACACTTGAGTCCTAACACTGAGTGAGTATTGATATCTGCTGTCAGGACAGACAGGGATGAGTGCCTGAGCACTAAGATAAAACGTGTTAGGCTGAACTCTGCCCTCACAAATGACAGATGCACTGGCTGACTGACTCATACATGCATTGATTGATTGACTGATGCATTAAGTGACTGAGTGGACATCTGGAGTGCATCCCTGCAGCAGGATAACTGCTGCTGTCGGGTCTCATTGACCTGTTGGGTTGACGCCTGTCACAGATGACCTGGCCCTGCTTGTGACATGGCGTAGCAGTGAGGCCTTTCCTGTTTCGGGTCGACTGGGTGTAGATTCTGTACAACTGTGCAGAGCTCGCCAATAATCACAAAAAACTGTGTCTATGGTACGAAGGACCGCTCCGTTCTGCTGTACTACGTCTGAGCATAACAAACCAAATTGTTGGCTAGTGAAAGGTGTTCTGGGTAAAATTGTGCACAGGGCTTTTATAAACATACAACAATAAGGGGGTGGGGGCTGGTACACATACTGTTCCCACACCTCAAACTACAGCCCACTAAGATGTCTTGTGTTTATGCACTCTACAACTTCAAACCAGAAGCTTAGCAAAAGTCCCTATGAAGACCACTAGTAACAGCAACATTAAAAGTGATGCATGAAAAGTTAATAGTCTTCACTGAAAAGGGGGGGCTTGTGGTTTCACTTAGGAGCTACGAAATGTCTTGCAGAAAGGGGTTCTGGCTGTGTGTTTGTCCATCCCTGTGTGTACACACTGAGCACAGCGTGACAGTCAGTCTGCGGCATGTGTGGATGTGAGCATTCATCTCACCACGAGAGTTTCAGAAGTGCAACGAGGAATATAAACGGAAGCACTGATTCCAGTCTATTAATGGCAGAGTCAGCTTGGTCTTAAATATTTCTTAAGGAAGTGTATTCAGCCTTACACTGTACACCAGGATGTCAAAGCATCCATATCGTTTAAGTTTTATATACAGAAGATCATTAATAGTCCAGTTACATTCTCAGATATGCAGTGAAGATGCTACATTTGCATTTATGTTTTTATGTATTCCTAGCATGATTTATGCCACTTATTATATAAAAAATAAATCAAATTTGGGATACTTAAAAATGAAAACTACAAATAACAGTGTTAAGCTGTAAAAAAATAATGATTAAAAAAAATTGCACGATTGAGTCCGACACATATGGATATTCACTGTTTTTATCGGTTGTGCATCTCACCCAGCACCAAACTGTCATACTCTGTCTGTATGCTGTCTTGCCCAGTGCTAATTTCCCTTTTTGTTAAATTTCTTAGTCAGCTTGCATTTTATAATATTATTTTAGATAATATCAACGATCACCTCTGTGTGTGTAAATCCACTTGACAAGCAGTAAAACACTACAGGATGTGAAGGAATACCACAGGAGAACGTGACTCTAACTGCACAACACAAAGCATGCTGTCCTACATGGACCAGGTGAGCTGAGAGGATCTGCCTTGATGGAAGCTTGCCACATGTTATATGTCTACCTGAAAAGGGCCACATCTCCTGGCCCATGGCACAGACCACCCGCAGCTTGTGTTGCCTCTCAAATAAGCCTGAGTGAGTGCAGAGCACGGCCGCCTTCAGCCGCCGTCCGGCCAGCATTCATTGGCGATGGAACTCCACAATGCACTCAACTAAACTCAACTAAACAGATTATTCTTTACATCCTGCTTGCGGGGCCTTTACTGAAGAGTGATTATAGTGGGAGGAGATAACTGTAATACCCATTTTCCTTTATGCTCACCATTCCACAAGGACTCGAGATTCATTTTGGAGAGATAACAGCAAGCGCCATTTAAAAAGAATCAGATGAAAACTAAAAACTGATGACTCACCTAAAGGTAATATTAGGACACAGGTTCTCCAGGGTTTTTAACTGTTTTAAGGGGTGTATTTTGGAATAAGCAAACACAAAATCTGTCCTCTCCGCTCCCAAACTCCACACGGTTAGCATTGGTGACAGCCCCCTTCCCCCAAGGGACTCAAAAAATACATTAATTCAACAGCCACATACATGTGATCCAATCCTTCATAAGACAGCCATCACTCCTGACCAGCCAGGGACACTTCAGGGATCCAGGGAGAGAAACGACGACCTTTGGCAAAGTAGCAGTGACTGGGTGGCATATCAGGAACAGGAAGTGATGTAATGCAGCACCATCCAAAAAGCACAGGAATTCTATGATTCAGAGTCCTGTGGAAATATGTTAGGATAGTGTCACTTACAGCAACACTGAAACTGGTAACTGTACAACACTGCCACTCAATAGTCAAAAGTTCAACACTATGAGCAAAATAAGGAAAATGTTTTTGTTTGGTGTTTTAGGCCATTAACAAAGTTAAACAAATGCAGCAGCCAGCGCTTTTCCCTACAAAAGTGTTTCAAACTCCAGTTCTAGTGCCTGGATGCTCCCCATCTCTCCTCTCTCAGTGTACCATTATTGCTAAACTTCAAGTGAAAAGACAATTTCACGTTACCAAAGTAACAGTGTTAGACATAAGGAAGGGGGAAAAAATCGATTTTGCAGTAAATATTAATAAACAAATGCCCGAGGAAACACTTGTGCATGACATACTGTATAACGTTTAGTTTACTTGTGCCTCTCTGTGATGCCCGGAAAAAAATTAACTGCTTTACAAAAATACAGGCTGAACTAACTGAGTAAGCGCTTAATAATTAAATATACAAAGCCGGTAAAGGCCAGATATTTGGACCCTTTGCTTTCTGCATGACCAACGAACAGCAGGAGGCCATCAAAGTATCAATTATATATGAGGTTTCAGATATTCCGTTATTGATTTGCTGCCCCCAGTCCCCATAACTTCTAAGTGAGAGAGTGAGAGGGCAACGAGGGTAAAATACCACCTGCATTTCCAAAGGCCACCAACAGGGGGTCGCCCCCAAGTAACGCACCTTAACCAAGCCCTTGGAAGGCAGTCCGAGGAATGAAAACACAGTGTTGGTCTCCTTGGACTGGAAGAAATCCTCATAATCCTATGACAGCAAGAGCAAAAGAAGACAGATGCCTTTTAGTAAGAGTGGAACTGAATGCAGTCAAATTTAAATATATAATGATAACCAATGACAAACTGAGGAATTCTTGACTTCCAGTGAGATTCAAGTGGAGAGTCCCCTGAATCATCTGGAGTTAGCAGTTAAATTATTCCCAGCACTGACCAGGGGCGTAAGCATCCCCATTCTGCTACACTGACATTTGACCTCACCTCCTCCAACCTAATGTCTGGCTCACTTCAGACAATATACTAGAGCAGAGCAAATAGTGAGGTTGCTCAAACATGCTTTCTGCTTACCCCACCCTGCCTGAGCCTCATGGGACAGGACAGCACTCACAGGAGTGAAACCCCAGTGCACCACCTATTTATTGCATATTTATTGTTTCACTCTGCTCTACTCTTTTGTCTTGCACTGTCTCATCTCTTACTGCACCATTTTTCTGTTGTTTGTTCTGCATTGCACCGTTTTTTGTCCTACTCTCCTGCCATACACCTGTCCCCTCCCCTACAATTGTTGCACAAGAATTTTACTGCATTCTTTAGAGCACATGTGACAGTAAAAACCTTGAAACTTGAACTTCAAACTAAGGCTCAGGCATAGAGATAGATATCAGAGACAGGAAACCTTAAATAAGCCCCAACTAGCTTGCATCTACAATCGCTCCCCAGTCCGATTTCCGCAGCCTCCTGTGTCAGATGCAGCATTTTGCAGACCACAGTATCTCTCTCCCACTAGCATGGAACTTAGAAATACTGCAGTGCAGACTGAGGGAGGAGCTTTACTCTCCTGGCAGCTGGAGATGGTCTCCACCAGAACTTGTTAAGAACAGAAGACTTGTCAGGGTGACACAGACCACCCAAGGACTTACTAATCACAATGAAATACGATGAAAACAGTGAGGTGGAAACGAGAACGTATCAGTTACTTCTAATTGCTGCTAATGCTGAGCTTCCTTCACTGTCAGTGAGCTGATTGGGAGACCGCAGGACCAGAGCCAAAAGATCAGAACCGTGGGCGTGAGTCTGGGCTGGGCTGGGCTGGGATGGGCTGGGCTGGCACATGGCCCATTTCACAGGAGCGTTACAAGAGAGCTCTGAAAGGCAGCCTCAGACAGCATGGTATTTTATTTAAAAAAAAAAAAAAAACAAATGAATGTACCCCACAGTACTGCTGCCCGTTGAATATCTGTGGCGGAAGGGGGTTCCCCCTGTCAGGGTGCTTGCCCTCAGGAAGGTTCCGGTACATCCACAGCCTCTGGTCCTCCAGCATGGTTATGTCCACCACCTCAAATGGAATGCGATTGGCCTCCAGAAAGCCCACAATCTCCTGCTGCCTCTTCTTGATCTGCAGGGAAGAAGAGGATTTTAGTCTTCTGGAATACATGGTATTAATTGCAGAAGACGATTTTTGAAAATCGATTAAAGTGTGTATGTATCATGCCAGGGCCCTGGAACGAAAACCATAAGAATAGCATTAGTCTGCAGTGTAAAGGGGATAAAATGAGTGCAAGACGTTTTATTTGAATTTGGACACAAGGAAGGCCCACATACTGCAGTGATTGCATTCTTGTCTCTGAGCCCCTGCACCTCCCCTCTCAGTAATGGACATGATGAGGGGGCCAGACTGGGTCAAGAGCACATGACACACGCACAAATACATACTGAGAGACCTCATTGATACTGAAGCCATGAACTGCTACAAGCCCAATAATGGGTAAGGAACTGGAACTCCAGCCGACAGATCACTGGCTCAAATTCATTGAGGGAAACTGCTGCTGTACCAATCACTGGACTACTGGGGCAGGACTTCTGTACTCAATATTATTCTTATTAGGTACCATCAAGTTGAAACGGTCTCCAGGCGACCACACAAACAGATTTCCTCCAGAACCTTCTCTCAAGCTTCCCAATACCATGTTAATTGCTGTGATAATTCAGTACATCCACCAAGTTACTGGTATTCATCTTCTCCTTTTACCAATCCTTGTTCCAAGCATTAAGGCCTTCTCTGAAGTGTTTGCTTTTCTCATGACAAGCTTCAATCTGGTCATTTGTGCTTCAAGTTTTGATTTGCTCCGTTTCCCTTGCTGTCTACAGTATCTTTGAAGCCTTGGATTATGACTGGTATGATGCCACAAGATGTAGTTTGACGCTTCCGTAGCTCTGCAGCAGTACCAGATAGGGGGAGCTTCTCAGGGGGTGTGTGCATATGCTAAATTGCATCAGCGATGCACAGCAGGAAAGCACCAGGGAATGCTGGGATTGAATCAGTTGCTCAGGAGGGAATTGGCTGGTGCTGATCCAGGATTAGGATGTGACAGGAGGCATGTGGATCAGGTCTGCTGAGTATCTGGATGGCAACTGAGGGCCTGAGCTCCTGCTGGACTTATCGTTGGGCAGGAGAGCTTCCCAGGTCCCCCCCCCCGTGGTGACCTGCCCCCACGGCTACGTGGTGCCCTGCGATCTGAGCGCCAGCACATTCCCCTGCCATTCCTGATCATTACAGGAGGTCTTAAAACTCTCCTTAAAACTAAAACTTGAGAGGATTTGCAAAAAGAGAAAACATCACCGTTCTGATGCAGAAAATGGGAAACTTTGCCATTATTATTATTATTATTATTATTATATCTATCAATCATTTTTGATACCCATTTGTCCTATACAGGGGCATGGGGGTCTTGGAAGTAACAGGCACAAACCACACCTACACACACATTTACGCCAACGGACAATTTAACTCCTACAATTCACAGTACCATGTTTTTAGGCTGTGGGGCGAAGCTGGAGAACCCATAGGAACCTCCACAATGGCCAGAGCCAAACCCAGGTCCCAGAGGTATATGGCAACAGTACTAACAACCATGCCACCCCTCTAATTATTATTATTATTACTCTGTTTTTAAACATGTTTGAGGACAGCCAGCCACTGGAGACATGTAGACAGAGAACTATCAACAACCACTGCAGACTGACTCTCTGCCAAAGTGGAAGGGCGTAACATGAATCCGTGCAAAGCCAAGCGTTTACAGAACAATCTGGAGCCTCATGGGTTCACTGCTGTAGAGCTGCATTCGTAAAACATGTGAGAAAGGGGTTGATGGGGGGGGGGGCACAAACTGAAGCTGATCTGCAGGCAAACCCTTTGGTCTGCTGCAAATAAAATTAATGGGTGCCTTGAAAATTAACGGGTGCCTTGAAAATCTCAGTTATCCCCGTTTACAGCAGAAAACCCTACATTAGTGCAGCAGCGTGCTGATTGCAACATAAGGCAGGTATGTAAACGCCTGGCTCTGATGAGGTTAGACACACTCAGCAGATGCAAAGTCTCAGGGAACAGAGCCTCCCTGTGCCTTAGAAACAACAAGTGTCATTTGGTGCAGACTGGCATTTTCTCCCCAGTCCACAGGTGGTGGCTTCACAGGACCTTTGTGCAGGCAAAGTTTAAGGTTCATTAAAACAGGGGGGAAAAAAATCACTCATGTCAGCATCGAATGGGAGCAGGAGCAGGGAGGTTAGGGGAGCAGTGGACAGGCCTTGCAAAACCCAAGCTGATGCGGAGATCACATCCTCACGTGTATAGAGGAGCACTTCCAGCTAATGGCAAGTTAAAATAATAATAATAAAATAAATCAACTGCTGAGCAAAGAGAACATGAGTAGAGATACTTGCACAAATGGGCATAATCGTATTGATTATCTGAAGCCCCTTATTGTCTCCTGATGTATGGACCAGAGGAGCAGAATGATGATGTTTCACTGCACACGCAGTTCGTATAGAAAACGATCTGTAGCCATTTCCAGCTGGAGGATTTCTCAATTTCCAGCCATATGATACATGAGCTGTTAGTGCTCCTTAAAATAACCCAAACACCAAGCAGTAATAGTAATAATGCACCAGGCTGACATTCATGTGGGACTAGAAAATAGTCTGAACTGACAAAACACACTGAATCCAGATTTTGTCCAGCCTCCGCCTTATGAATCATCTTGTATAGTGCACTATAAACTGTTTTTCCATTCTCTTATATGCTTTTCAGCTTTAGAGAACCTACACAAAAATGCTAATATTGTAAGAATCCTCCAGGGGCGTGAGCTGGTGCTCCACACTCCCCCAGTACTTACTGCTGCCTCCACTGCTCCGCAGCGGTGATCCAGGCTCTGGTCTCTGTCTAACCGCAAACAAGCAGAAACCTTAGCATTGAGACAACGAAAGGGCAACCTGGTATTTATAGTTACCTCCTGCTGCAGTCATATAATATTCCCTGGCATTGAGGAACTGGAGAGCAGCTCTCTGCAATTCCCCTGTACCGAGCCACACCTAACTGTCGCTTGTCCGCCCATCAGGGGCTGTACCCCACATGGGGGGCATTGCTTACCCCCAGCCTCCACCTTACCCCCCAACTCACACACCTGACTTACTGCAATGTACAGCTCCTCCACACCCTGTAAAACAATCCACACATGTAATCTGTGCTCTAATGGGTTGGAAAAGCGCTTTCAAAAATTAATGGACACAGACACATTGGTGGATAGACACTGCGGAAAAAAGTTATTTACTTTGGATAAAACACAGAAGGGAATACAACACAAACATTCTCATTGTACTACGCTGTCTAACAGACAGCTGTGTAAATGAATCCCATACATAATGATATGTCATTGAAACACAGATGCTTTGTTTAATCTGAATCTGAAGCCACTAAGTTCAGCTGAGCAGGTTGTTTGACAGGTTGGTTTGGGGTTTGCATTTATTTGGTTTTGATTGCGCTGAACAACACACAAAGTTATTCCTTACATCCCTGCAGAAATAAACTGTAGATAAAAATAAACCAAGAAATGACTGTGGTGTCTGTATGAGACATTATTCTATCCAGTGCGAAGAGAACATGGAACGTGGATGAATGCGACACAGACAGCGTATGCAGACAGGGAGCAGACACCGAAAAGACTCCGTAGAGATGAGGATCTAGACATGGGAGGGTGAGGGAGCAGACACAGAGGAAAAACCACGACTGATACAGAGCAAGGGCAGGACAGGTACAGATGGCATACGGAATAGTGAGACAGCAGAAATAGCAGTGACAGAGCAGGTCAGACAGAACAGACCGCTTACAGCGTGTAGCGTGTAGCATGCAGCACGGAGCCCATGCATGAACAGGAGAGTGCCTGTCCTTGGCTGCCAATGAGACAGACAGACCATCATTACAAATCAAGGGATGAAGAACGGAGCTGGAAAAAACGATTTAACCTCATGCTGCTTTCCCCTACGCAAGAATACAAGAAAAATACTAATCAAAGAAGGATGCCTGGGTGGGGTCAAGATGAAAAGCAGAGCTGCTAGCTAAGTCTCTATGGTATGCTAGATAAATAAGTCTCTATGGTATGCTAGATAAATAAGTTTCTATGGTATGCACTGCAACCACAAACCATGGGACACAAAGTACCTGTGCCAGCTATTTTACGTCAATTCACTTTAATCAATATATGTTCGTGTCTTCCAGTTCAGTTGTATCAGTCTTTAATGTTATTTTAATGTTTTTCATATTGTGGGAAATAAGGAACAAAAGGGCAAAGGTCAAGATGCACTAGAACCTGTTTTTCCATTCTCTTTATTTAAAAAGCACTTTCTCATGAAATCTCGGTGCTGCCTCTTTAAAAATCCCTCAAACCAGGCAGAACATTCACAAGGCGGGGGTACTGAGATGGGGCTCCCCAGTGTTCGAATCCCAGGAGACAGTTACCTTCATGAAATTATTTCAAATTCAAGACGAGGGATCCTCTTCATACAAGAAATGTTTCCTTAATGTGGCTCCTTCAGAGGAAAATCTCTCTTGGGGCTTAGGAACTTTAAAAGGTTGAGAGTTGATGAGAGAGGTCAGAAGGCCAGGCCAGGCCATAGCATGGCAGACATAAGGGGAGATTCTGTCTGGATCCGTATAGTACAGGACAGTTTGGCCTCCTCCAGTTTTTCAGTTTATTTTTAGGTTTTTACAAACATTTACGAGGATATGGGAAGAGAAAAAAAAACATCTTTCCACTCAAATCGTGACTCATTCTTATCCCCTATTGCTGTGGTGTCCAAGAACAGTTATTCTTTGTTATAACTATTGTATAATCTGTCTGCACTTTAAATTCTTTCACTTTTAACAAAAGAACTAAACACAAATTCATTATTGAATCTCTGTACAGCAAGGGCTCTTGAGATAAACATCTTAGGATGCCAGCATCAGCAGTTTAATCTCTTGTTTATATCAGTGTCATTTAAAGTGAATTAACCTCATGAGTTTAGGTTCGTCGAGGCTGACATGCTATATACTGTACTGTTCCTGTCTGTGTATTTTGTACAATCAAGAGATCTTTAGGGAACCTGAGCCTGAGATTATTAGTCATCACAGATAAACACTGCTCCCCAAAACATAGCTATGTAGTCCGGAATATCCATCCATTGTTATCTTAAAAGTACACAAGTAGAGATCAACTTAATTACTAACTTAATCCTCCACTAAAAGACCTTGTTATATATAAAATAGTATAGGAAAGCATAGAATGTAGTATATATGGTGTCTAAAACTTTCTAAATGCCCATAACATTAAAAGATAAACCGAAAAACTCAGAAGCTGTTCACTGAACGTCACACATTAAACAAACATATTTCTGAAAATAAAATGACAGAACACATCTATCATGTGTCAAGAGAAAGTCAAACAAACGCATGAGATAGCATTGCAAACGATCGGGATATTTTATACAGCCCCGAGGTTTACTGATAAAGGTGTCAAAGTCCAGAAACACAAACGCAAAGGACCCACTGGCTTATAAACCAAACGTAGCCATACCTAGAATTACTGGGGTCGTAAAAATGGTTAACTTTTAACTGCACATCTGTATAACTCCTACAGGACACGCAACAAGATCTGAAAGCACATCTGATCATTCGCGTGTAGGGTAGTAATAACAGAGATAATAGTAGAAAACATTTTCGATTTACTTATAGCCATACAGCCATATAAGCATAAGGGAGTGGCATAGTATTGGAAGTGTCTCATTTAATCTGCTGGCTATTAAGAAATCTAGGAACAAAACTGCATTCAAAGAAAAAGTGTCTCCCTGCATAATCGGCTGAACACAGATACAATAATACTATAACAAACACGTGGGAAAAACGTAAATACGTAGGTGATAAGAACGTAGACTTGATAAAGAAACCAGAAAATAATTTAAAATTCACACACATATGCACATACCGTTGGTTATTTCTGAAACAAAGTTAGCTATTATACCACACTTGCGATAAATACTGTTTCATGCAGAGACTATATATTTAAATATACTCGTATTATAAATATAAAAAAACACAACAGGCTAGAAGTTACGCTGTTACAAACAGTTCGCCACACACCAGAGCCGCCAGGTATATCGTCGTTATCCGCCCTGTCAAATGCAAGCACCCTTTAAAAAGCAAAAATAATTAAATATATGTAAAAATATATACTCACCACAACAGAACCAGACAATGAGGCGATGAAAACTCTTATTACCATCCTACAGAAAAATCCTGGTCGGCAAATGTGTTTAAGACGTGTATTCAAGCGCTCCTCTCCTTGGCGAGATTGTTGATGTATCGCCTGAATGTTATTGACAGGCTCTTCGATAAATGCGTGTTTAAGTTAAAGCAACGCTCAAGCCTACGTTGTAAAATTATTATTATAATGATGAAGATAATGATGGCAGTGCTCTCACCACATTCGTGGTCTTCACTCCCCCACCCGGCACTCTGGGGTCTAACACCGTCGAACCCTTTTTCAGCCCTGTAATGAATGAGCAGAGCATTCTGGGAGATGTAGTGCACCACGTAAAACTTTACATTGAGCATGTTTCGCGAGCGTTTGCGGAGCAGTGAAGCTGTCTGCCTTTGTGGGGAGTGCTGAATTTATGAGCCTCTCTCCCTGTTAGCAGAATCCAGCTCGCATAAATATTAAAGTACTTGCTTTGTGCCTGCAAAGGGGTTTAATTCATTGAACGACAAATGAGTTTCCCAATGTCTAGACTGTGATAATTATGTTGGAAATAATAATGATGTAGTTAAAGCTTGCGGGTCTTTTCTGAGGCCCAGTCCTAATTTCAAAAGCTCTTCAGGGTGTATCCCAATCTTCCATCCTCGCCCATTCATTGCCATAACGGTTTTATTAAACGACACTTTTTAGGTGTTACAGATGAATTATTGCACCCATCCCAGATATAGCTTCCAACTGACATCAAAAGAGTTTTTATTATAGGTAGCGATGGAAAAGTTGTTTCGGCACAAATATATTGCAGAAAACTAGCTAGTATACTAATAATAATATTAATAACACCCCCGCTTTCGAATGGCGCAGGATAAACTATTTAAAAGTGCATAAAGATAAAAACTAAACCCGTCAGTTAACGGTGTACTATAAAAAGTAGATTCCTAATAGGTTTTGCAGTGGTGGGTAAAGTGTAACTTCCACCATCAGGTAAATCAGTGATAAAATGTCATGAAATTCCCTCTGTTAATAAATTTGAGTTACCTAATATTATTCCATTAGAAAAATATATATATTTGAAGTACTTAACTGAGACAATACAGAGGTTTTGACGGTTACTACCCAGATTATGTCTTAAGCAGCCTTCCCCCGCAGTCGCCGCGGCTTAGACCTTAGACGTCATGTAATCGTTCATACAAACATATTTTTTGTTTGCGATTCTGTTAAGACAACGTTAAAAACATTATGAAGGCAGCACATCAACCCAAGAACGGGATTTCCGTGAGCTGCCTCGAGAGCATCAAACGGGATCCTTTAGCGGCTAACTTGGAACTCACGAGGGTTGCCATGGCGAGGCGTCGCTAAGAAGCACGGCGCGGAACGGAACGGCGCGGATCCGCACGGCGAACAGGCGCACTGGAGGAGTCGGGCTCCGTCCTGCACGAGAGCTGGCGCGAGGGAGCCAGCAAAACGTCTCCCGTATTCGCGTAGGAGTAGGAGGAAGACCGGCATCCGTCAAGACGCCCGCTTGGCCCCGCACGACCTACCGGGAAGACGGAACAATGTTGGCTGACGTTAGCTAGCCGCTGAGGACGTTCAGCGCCATCACTTGTGAAATGGGAGCCCTGGAAAATATAAAATAACATAAGGTTGGTGTAAAATAAACTGGGCTGGAGCAAAACGCTGACCGTCTGTCTCCATGACAGCATCCGGGAAACTCTGAAGTCGCACCCGGACGACTGTTTCCCTTCTTGGTAAAGTCGATGGTTACTGTTGAAGTATTCTTGAATAGACGTTCAGTACAAATTCTTAGTTTATTTCTGAACGAGCCATGTTTATTTTTCACCGTGTTTGTAAATCTGGCAATTTACGTCGACTACCAAGCGCATAATCCGAAATAATCGCAGTTGGCTGTCATCTTAAACCAGCTAGCGGAGGTTCTGATTTTATCCCGCTATCCACCCTACATAGTTCCTTAGTTACCTAGTAAGTTTAGCTACGTTACCTAAGCAGCAAACATGGCGTACAAATGTATAATTTGTCTCCAGTATTTTCAGTTTCAAAGAGCTATAAATCCGGGCCAGGGCTTTCCGTGACTGTCAGTGAACCCCAAAAGGAGATAAATATGCCTTTTGTTTTTGCGTATAGCTACATTGTTAGTGTAACAGATTGTGTTTCGTGGCTTTCGGCGATTAAAAAAAAAAAGTGCGCCCCTCCCACTCTCCCGAAGTCAGGTTAGCGGGAGCAGCGCGTCTGTTTTAGACCTTCCTGTCTGGCGCTGACAGCCTGTCAGCTTTAGGTGGACGCATCGTTTGCATTTTTACTTCCCGTTCGCTCATTTTTGAGAAGTCTTTTTGGTAATCCGATGCTGATGTTTTGCCATATCAAAGAAAATAAATAACTCCGACGTCTTGCGTCGTTTGTAAGGGTTTGCTGTGTAGGGTTGTTGAGTGACGTGACAAAATGGCTCACTTTTTGTACTTAAACTCGATCTGGAGTGTTCATCTAATCCAGATTACATTGGAATAACTTGCCTACTATTACTCTATGTAGCGCCTGAAAGATGCATTTCTGAATTCGTTAAAACAATATCAGTAAAATGTCTCTAAATATAATGAAATATCTTTTGGACTGTGCATTCAGAGTAGAAGTTTCTCTGACTGTTCATGTTTAAGAATTGTATAGCATTGCAAAATAATTTACATAAACGTCCATATATAACGTACTTATAACCACTTGTCAGTTTCACGTTAACTTTCATAAACATGACGTATGTAGACGATATAGATACATTATGATTTGTGTTTACATGTAGCATCTTTTAGGATAATTTTTTCGATCTACATTCTGTAGTAGTAACTCCCACTGAAGTGTAATATCAGGCTATTTCAGATACCCGTGCTGGCACTTATCATACTTGTCACTGGATAGTATTGAAGATGCTCTCAAATTCAATTATACAAATCCGATCTGGTGCACACAGTTTTCTGAACTACTTAAACATGAGATTTTCAGTAGACACACACACTCTCTCTCTGTCTCTCTCTCTNATATATATATATATATATATATATATATATATATATATATATATAGAGTAATGTGGCACTATAATGGCTGATTGATGTTGCTTCATACCTTCAAGGTTGTCTGTTTTAATCCAGCTGTACCTCCTGTGTTTCGGCTGCCTTGTGTTTGCATGGATTTCCTGTAGGTAGTTCAGTTTCACCCTGTAGTGAATTCCAAAGACATGCCGGCCGGCGAACTGGTGTCTTTCACTTGTGTGTATGTCTGGTGTGTTTGGCTGGCTTTCAGCACAGGGTATTCCCATTAGGGACTATGGAAAATAACAATATTACTTAACCTAGCAGCTATTAAATATATAGATGGATAGATAGATTCTTTAAATTCAGTCAAAATGCTGCTACTCTTTATGATTAGTGATTTTAGTAAAATAACTTAACATAGCAGGAAAGTATATAGAGCAGATTAGCTATTATTGTCTCTCAGCACAAAAGAAGGACAATCTTTATATAGGTCAACTTCTCCTGTAAAATTGAAGATGTCCTACTTTTTCTTTACAATGTTCACGTTAGCCTGCTTCTGATATGCCCTTAGTGTTTGTGTGTGTGTGTGTATGTATGTATGTATGTATGTATGTATGTATGTATACCTGTATCTGAAGATTTGTATTTGTGAATTGGGAAATGCTGGGAATGCTGCAGAGTGGCTGTTCATGGTACACAGCATCCTCATTTCCTTGTGCATGCTCACGATGAAAATTGATTTTGATCATTGACAAGGTGATGCCTTGAATTAAATAAATGTAGACACCCATATGCATTAAAATGACACAGTAAAAAGGAATAAACAAAGACTGCATACAAAGATTCTGCATTTTCTGCCTAGGGAATAGTATCTATTACTTGAATGTCCCAGAGAGTAACTTCTTCTGTCTTCATGGATGTCCTTCCCAGCTGGATCACACTGAAGACAGCCTTGACCTCCACAAAATGCACCAGTCCAGTGAGGACAACTTGGATGGAGACAGGAAACGCAATTCCAGTGGAAGCATGACACGGAATTCAGAATCTTCCTCCAAATCCAAGTCAGGCGACAACAAGAAGAGGAATGGCAAAAGAAGCCCAGCAAGCAACGAGGCCAGAACCAGGAGACGGGATGCATCTCATGGCGACAGGAACAGTGGCTCCTACTATTCGGAGGACTATGAGAACAGCTCGGCCTCTGGCTGCTCTCTTTCTGCCAGTTCCCATTCCCTGTCCCCTGTCCCGCGGAGCCTGGCCCCTACCAAACGGGTCTCCAGCAGCCCGCTGCGGAAACCAGGTATGCCCTGATTTCACGACCTCATTGTCTGGTAAGAACCACTGTCCATCAGGGAAGTCAAGCTTGTTTCATGCATGGCTGCCAGTATGTTTTCATGATTCTGAAATACTCTCCAAAACCTCTTTGATCACAAGAAGCACAATGGTTGTGTAAGTTTAGTCATTTCGTTATACCGGGAACCGATTATCAACTGCAGTTTTTTCCACGTGTTTCCTTTTCCTGTCTGTAGATGGCAGTGTTGAATGTGTTTTGTTACCAGCAACACGCACATCAGTAACGACGCCAGTAATGGTTACATGATTGTTTTGCCCACATCTGAAAAAATGTAATTAAGCTGGTAATTTCCACCTTCTGCTTCACACCTGCACAAATCAATTATCATAATTACAAGTGAGTATCCAAATACGGTATTATAATGTTGACGAACCAGCTTTCTTTCATTCAAAGCAAATGTTTTTCCTGTTTGTACAGGTGGTTATTATTTGTTCTATTAATATAGATTTTGTACCTTTTCCAAGAGTACAGTGTCTGGCTATATTTAGCCCAGTGTCCTTAACCACCATGCCACCTACTTCTCTGTTTAGAAAACAGCATAGTAGACATGCAATTTAATGTATTCCTCAAGACCCCTAGAGGATTATGGTTGTCTAGTACAGTTGTGAGTGCAGTTTCCTTTAACAAAGGTGCCTTAATTTGTGCCATGGTGAGAACGAGTTTAAAATAATCTGGGTGTGTTTTTTGTACTGTAGGTGCCTCCTCACTGTTGCTGAGTGCTGTTTTTCAGCTGTATTAGTACTCTTCCCTCAGCCATATCAAGGCCATCTGTGTTGGTGTGATGCACGGCTTTGGTGAGGGTGACTCTTGTATTGTGTAGCAGGCATCATAAGGTGGTCCAGAATTCCACAATTGTGCATTCGAATTGAGACACATCGAGAACTTCTACCATCTATCTTTCTAGTGCCAAATTTAGGCATCCCCTGGAAATGCTGCTTTTCTAACCAAAGCCAAATTAAACCACTTTTCTGCAGATATGCAACAGTTTGAAATGAAATCAGTAACTATATAGTCGGTGTGCACTACAGTCACCTCTCTGTACATTTATTATGATAGTCATGCCCTTGACAGTATTTTTGAACTCCTGGAATGTGGCACGATTCTCCCATGTCGGATAGGCTTTCATGAGAAAGGTCAGAGACCTCTGTTGGCAGTTTGGAAGTATTCAATTGAAGATCCTCCTCATTCTGTTAGTAATGTAGTCATGGAGCGCTGTCAGACAAGTTCTTCTTCTCCAGCCTTCCGAGTCCTTTCCGTTCAGAAGTATCCAGTTTCTTCACCATCCTCCTCTTGTCCTCCAATGAGATACACTCATCAAAAAATGCAAGCCCAACTAACTCTTCCAAGAGATACCACAGATGTCTGTGATAGGCATTCAGTGCCACACTGGCAGAGGCTCGATCTGGCTTACGTATACGTCGGTATACGTCCTTAATCCGTTCCAGATCCTTGAACAGGACGTATACCAAACGAATTTTCCCATAAGAAATAAAGGGAAAAAGATTAATTTGTTCCCGTGAAAAAAAAATCCTATTGTTATTGGCATATTATACATTGATGGGATTGTATAAAATAATTTAAACACTGCTTAATATTAAGTGCATAAATACAAAAGCAATTAGATTAAAATTTAACCTCACTTTACCTTGCTGAAAAAACATAAAATCACGTGAAAATTCACAGAGAAATTGTTCACTGCACGGATTGTTCACTGAATAGTAGCAACTGACATAGTTCTAACACGCGAATCGTATTCCAAACGAAGGTCGTATACCAAGCAAAATTTTTCGTGTCCAAACGGGACTTATTCCGAAGCAGACGTATACCGAGGTACCACTGTATGTGTATATGCATGAATAATTAAATATTAAATCATTTATAATACCTTTTTATTGATCAACATGAAGTAAACTGCCCGATATGTAAATAATTTCTTGAACCCAATGGGGGACCTCTAAATTTTGCTCAATCCAGTTGATAGGTGTGCAGTATGAAAGGCATGATGTGTCTCATTGTGTTTACCCAGTAACATTGTGCTGCCTTCCCTGGAAACAGATGGATGTCAGAAAGGAAACCTATTGAGTGCCTTAGCCGTGTGTATATATGTGTTGCGTGGTTTCAGAAAAACATTTTTAAGAATCGTTCTGGCACTGGTTCCCCTGAATCCTTTTTGCTATGAACTAACCCACGAGTGCTGTGCTGAATCTGGCATCCCGCCTAGCTAATTGTGTTTGGTTTGTGTGTTCTTGGCTATAACAGAATATGTCATTAGTGATTGTACTCTTTGCCCAGTCATAAAAAGGTTTTATCCTTTTGTCATGATTTTCTATTTGTACAAGAAACCAGTTGTTTGCTCCAAATGTGCTCATGTGCAACTGCTATAAACATTGCACACAGTTTTATATATCCTGTTATACATTACTTAGATTACAGCTTTGTGGTAGTATCATTAGTAACTATTACAAAAACATTTGCTGATGCTTTACATTAACTTTACCTTCATACTGAATTCATAATGCATTCATAGAACATTCATAAGTAGCATGTACTCCTTAACATGCCTTAATAGCTTTAAAATACATTAATAAGAAACTGTATTTGATTATACAATTATAATGATTGTTACAGTATATTGCAGGTGTTAAAGTGGGTAATGATGTTAAAGTATACTTACATGCTGCTTGTGAATGTTTTATGAATGCATTATTAAGGTGCACTAAATGAGGTATGAATGCATTATAAAGGCATTATGAAGGGGTAGTTAATGGAAACCCTTACCAAACATTTATTGAAAGCCCTTTTAAAGGTGTAAAATATATTGGAGCATTTATCAGCTATTAAAAATAACCAATTTAAAGCGGTAAGCTTGGTTAATGATTAAACATGAGAGAAATGAGACTATTTGCTTTTGGTAAAAGATACACTTCCAGCCATAGGATTCGGACCCACAACCTGCTTGGCACATGTATAGATCCCTGCCTCGGTGAGCTGCACACCGTCCACACTACAACCACACTATGGAATAGTGTCTCTTTTAGATTGTATGAGCTGCTAATCTCACAGAGTTTTTTTTTTTTCTCTCTCACACCCTTCCTCTTTTCTTTTTGTTTTATGTTTATGCAGGCCTACGAAAGTCAGGCTCTCGGCACCTTCGCCCAGGTGCTCCCCCGCAGCAGGGCGGGGGACGCTCTCAGAGCCTGAACAAGGACCCTTCGCCGAAGGACTTGGACCTAGTGACCAAGCGCATGCTGTCAGCGCGCCTGCTTAAGATCAATGAGCTGAAGAACGAGCTGGCTGAGACGCAGATGCGGCTGCAGCAGCTGCAGCAGGAGAACAAGGTGCTGCGGCAACTGCAGCTCCGTCAGGAGAGGGCGCTGCAGCGCTTTGAGGACACCGAGAGCGAGATTGCCCAGCTTCTCTCGCGTCACAACAGCGAGGTGCATGCGCTGCGGGAGCGTCTCCGCCGAAGCCAGGAGCGGGAGCGTGCCACAGACAGGCAGCAGCGGGAGGCGCAGGAAGAGCTGAGCCGCTGCCGGGCTGCCCTCCAGAAGTTGCGACGGCTGGCCGAAGAACGCCACCTAGGGGAGAGGGAGGAGCTGGCACGCAAGCTGGAGCAGGTTGAGGGGCGCCTTGCTGACAGCGACCGTAGAGTCAAGGTACACACACATCTGTCTAACCCTACAGAATCTCATGGTCCACTTCATACCCGCTTGGTTGATGTTTGGCTATGTAGGTGAGGAATATTCATGATCTGAAGGTTGCTGGCTCAAATCTAGTGGCTAGGAAAGTAATGTCATAATTGGCTTTTGAGCAAGACCCTTAATTCCAATTGCTCCAGGAAGACTGGCTGCTGTTACTCTCTGATTCTCACCTCTCGATAAAAGCCTCCACTAACTAAAAAAATGTAAACCAGACCAATCCAAGCTCTGTAGCAGATACTGGGCTGTGAATACCCTCCATGGTGGTAATTTTATGGTATTACATTCTATCTGTATCTGCAGTCTAGCCAGCGTGTTTGTAGCTGCTCTCAAGCATGGAAGGTAGACGTGAGGATGTGCTGAGAAACACTAGCAGACTCAAATGTGACCTGGTCACCAAGGCTGCCTGTCTCAGGCCAACCCGCCCTGGCTGCAAGTCCAGCTGGCGTCCATTAGAAGAACCGTGAAGCAACACAACAAGCATGTTCTCAGAGACTGTTTATGTTTCCCTGCATCGCTTCAACCGCGCACTTCAAATTCAGCCAGAAAAAATAAAAAGGTTCCACGATGATGCTTGAGCCGTGAGAGGCGTGGAGCTGCCGTGTGGTTTAATTCTTCATGGGTGTAGGGACAATGGGGGCGTGGCCTCTGGCGTGTGGCGTATGAACAGTGTAGACGGTGTTGCTGTAGGTGCAGAGGAGAATGTGGGTTACAGAACACAGGGGACATCACAGCCCTCTGATAAACAACCTCAGATTCTTTGAACTTTCTATCTGGCAACTCCTTTATAGTGTAATTATTTCTGTTTTATTATTTTTGTTTTTTATTTTCTCTTCTATGAAACTGATTTATTGCGGTGACCTACTTTGCCTTAAGGATTATCAGCATTTGGTAATAATTATCTCATTTTCCATGACCTTGTTTCAATGCAGTAACTACTTAAAAGTAACTCTTGATGGAGGTACGTCGGGTATACCGTATGTTGAGGGGGCAGCTTCATTAGTTTCTTAATGAGCTGATCTGTCTGGTCTAGCAACATGCTTGTCCATCTCTGTAATTCAGTGCAAAAGAGATTTTCGAGCTCACAGTAAGAAATCAGAGTGTCTGTCGGTCATTTGATTTCTACATGCATTGGGTTTGGGCTGATTCATCTATGCCTGCTTGCGTGCGCGTGTGTGTGTGTGTGTGTGTGTGTGTGTGTGTGTGTGTGTGTGTGTGTGTGTGTGCATGCATGTGTATCTGTGTGCATTCATTCAGGACCTGGAGCGGAACCTGGAGCTGACGAGCAGCAGCCTCCAGCGGCAGCTGACAGCAGAGAGGAGAAAGACCCATGAGGCTCTGGAGGAGGCCAAGGGCCTGAGGGAGGAGCTGGAGCGCCTATGCCACAAACTCAAGGTAGGAGGCTCGTCCGCTGAGCCGCAGCATGTCCAGGTGTCTGTGCACTGAGGCTCTCTTAGAATCCCTCATTAAAAGGCACAGAGAGTCCCCAAAGCCATCGCGGTACATTTCACTGGCTCACTCACTTACGCTTTACAAGATAAGCGTGTCAGGATCACTTCGTCTTGGACCCCGACTCCTGCTGTAGTTTTTTCCTGCTTCCTCCATTTCTTCTGGCTGTTTTTCCACTCTTACTTATTAGTCTCGCACAGTATTTGGCTGCTTTTATATCTGTCTGCACTAATCAGATATTAACAGGTTTGTGGTGTGTACTTCCTGTTCCTCAGGAAAAGGAAAGGGAACTCGATACCAGGAACATTTATGCCAACCGGATGAAACCTGCACACAGAAAAGAGGCAGAGAGCTCCACAAAGAAAAGAGGTACAGAAGCACCTCACCACTCTTCCTCTGACTTCCCACAACCAAATAGTGGTCACATTTAGCTCTGAATTTTGGTTGCAAACCAGAATTTTGTAACCCCATAGCTGGAACTCTAGAACACATTTCAAAAAGCCCAAAAATCTACATTTACTAATTAATGAAATGTGAAAGAACAGTTGTTGGAGGAGGTGCGTGGCTCTGCAGGTTAGAAGTCATTGTCTATATCCAGAAGGTTGCCAGTCTGGATGCTATGGCCAGCAGATTTATCAGATCATTGTTGGGCTATTGAGGAAGGCCCCAAACCTTAACCGTTCCAGAGATGCTGGCTGAGCCTGCTCTCTGACCACAGGCTTTTCTAACTCATGCATCACTTTGGACAAAAGCATCTGGTAAATATATGCAAAAAAATTAGGAATTCAGGTTTGGGATTGTATTAAAGGTTGGAGTGTCTGTAAGGACCTTTGGTTCCAGCCCACTGGCTTGTTTACTGCTCTTAAGATGGTACCAGCAGATGGCATTTAGGTATGTCAGGGTATTCACTGCTCCAGCTTTGGTGATTTGGAACCCACTGCATGGTGGCAGAGATGTGGGGGAGACTGAACCATTAAACCTCCCGGAAGTCAAGTGACCAATCAGAGATCCTTGTGTTATCTCGCATAACTGTACAATGTGATTCTGCAAGGCTACCGAGCTCTGCTGATTTGGTCAGATGGATCCTGGACTCCCACAAAGCAGCTCTCTTGGTTACAGTCTAGCACAGTGGTCCCCAACTAGCAGACCTCATGATAACCCCCCATCAGCAAATTTTATCGTCTCATTTTTCAGACACAGTGGACAAAGTGGACCTTGGCTTTGTGTTGCTGATGGAATTTGATGCTTGGGGAGAAATAGCTGGGGACACCTGGTTGTTTGACTAACTGAATGACTGTAACCCCCTGCCAGCCCCCCCCACAAGTGCCACCAAAGAGGTGCAGACAGAGGACAGGATGTTCTCCTTGGAGTTTCCGACCCCACCTCCCGCCATCACGGACAGAAAGGAGCCCCCCCGGAGAGATGAGTACCTCTCGATGAAGGCAAGCGTCCGTCTGACTGTAGAGCTTCTGCTTGATTTCGTGAGCCGTACCCGTCCCATCAGGGGGACCATTTGCACATGATACACCATCTAACTTCAGCAACAGGCAAAACATACACTATCCATTACAAAGCTAAGGAGTTAAGTTTGGTAAGTTATTACTGAAAATTCACTAACAAATAAGCCAGGATCTGAAATCTCCCTGTGTATACACTCCTCTTTCCAGCATCAGCAGATGGCTGTATTATTCTTATTACATTTAGAGGTGCAGAGGTCTCATTTGTACCATGGCCTCTTATTCAATTAAATTCATTTCAGTGTATTTTTATATAGCGCCTTTCACAACAGTGTCACCCCAAGGCACTTTACACGAGTGTGTTGTAGTATATTCCTACATCATCTATGCAGAATAATTTAAAAACAGGTGAAAGGGAGAACTAAGAAATGAAAGAAAGAAAGTCAGATGACAACACAGGAAAGGAACCAGAAACTTCTAAGCAGGGAGAACGTCACTTCTCCGTGCCGGCCTGTGCGGGGTGGCAGATTGAAGGTTGTACCCACAGTGTCACAGTTGCATCCTCGATATCACACGTCCATGGGACTTAACTAGGATTCCTGCTCAGATGGTGCCCAGCCCGGGAAGGAAGGCAGAGAACATGGGTGGTCAGAACATGTATAGACACAATAACGTATGAACACAGTAGGTGGAAAAAGCCTGTATGGCAGCACAAACAGCCACAGTTACATTGTGTTATGTTTTAAAGTGCAGGTGAGCTAAACTGAAGGAATAGGTCTTCAGTTGGGATTTAAAGACTGAGACCGATTCAGCATCCCGAGTGTAAGCTGGCAAACCATTCCACAATATAGTAGTCATGTAGCAGAAGACTTTACCTCCAGCTGTTACTTATTTTATATGTGCAAAGACACGGAGGCCTCTATTCTCTGAAATGAGTGTCCAGTGCATTATGTAAACTTCAGTTTGTTATGTTAGGTAGGCATGTGCTAGACCCTTGAGTGCTTTATGTATAAGTAGTTCTTTTTTCATTTGTCTGTTTTTTTGTGTTTATTAAAATTTGAGCTGGGTATGCTGGTAGCTAAGTGGTCAACGCTGTAGCCTTACGCCTCAGCTGTGAGCCTGTCTCTCCAGGCTCTGTGTGTCTGTCGTCTGTCCTCCTGGGCCTGTGTATTTAGATGAATTGCCCAGTGTGTGTGGGAATGTCCTGCTTCTCATCCAGGTTGTGCCCCATCCTGGTGCCCTGTGCTGCCTGGGCTAGTTAGGCCTCAGGTTCCCTGTGATCCTGGCCAGGATACACAATTGGAAGGATGGAAATTTCCCACTGTATAGGAGTGCATGCCTTGTGATGAACTAATATCCCAGAATTAGCATCCCTGTGCTTCCTGGCACACCCCAAAACAGTGTACTGCACAAATGGTAATTGAAGATGGACAGATGGTTAAAATTTGAGCGGTTGTGCACATGTTAACTATCCCACCCCTAACTATAACAGATCAATTAGATCCAAGTTATGTTGGATTTTTACTGAGTTGTTCACCTTAAGTACTCATTTATTTTATTCTGTATGGTATTACTCCGAGGATAATACACAGGACCCTGATATTGACTGCAGGGGACCATGTTTCGCCATTGTGTAGATGCTTCTGGAACAAAACATGTTATCATATTTCACATTAAATTTAATGTCAAACTGCTTTTTTATTTCAGATTCTCATTTTGCAGGTACCAATCAATAACCCACTAGCAGAAATCTTGTTATAAAGAAATCGAATTTCATTTTTTACTACTCTTTTCCATTGTAGTACCATAAAAAAATGCATGCTTCCTGTTTGGCATTTTGGCTCATTTTTCAGGTCGAATTACGTCACTCTGGTCTTTTTCACATCAAATCAAATATCTCTGGTGTTTTTCCACATCCAATCACATTACTTGGGTCTTTTTCACATCCAGTCAAATCGCACAGGTCTTTTACACATCCAATCACATCAGTCCAGTTCATCCTTTGGTGGTAGCTGTATAGTGCCTCTCCTGTGACTTGGTGCAGGCTGCAAACTCAGTAACTTGTCTGGCCTGTTCAATGAAGGGACCACTTTTGTGTTTTTTTTGTTTATTTTAATGAAAACATTCTAGATCATGCATTAGTGGAAGGTTTGTTTTTTTTCAGCTGTTTTATTATGTTTTAATACCTGTTCATTTTGTTCATTTTGGTTATTTGTTCAATGTCAGTATAGCGTATGATCTGGGTTAAGTGACACACCATAGTTCACATAATTTACATAACCCCTGCTGGATAATTAGTTGAGTGGATTATTTACATAAATGGTATTGGTTTCAAATTTTATAAGTAATTCCTAATGTGAGTTAAATTTAAATGTGCAAGGCTGCTTTTCAGTATTTAAATCTTCTGCTGACCATTCATTATTATCCTCACCTGCTCCTCTAGGTCCAGCAGGAGGCGTCAGAGGGAGAGAACTGGCACAAGGTGGGGAGAGAGAAAGAGGAGGAGGTACACCGAGAGCAGGAGATGGAGAATGTCAGGAGGCTGCGGGGAGGTGAGGAGCATTCCAACATATGTGCGTACACACACACACACACACACACAGGTTTTGTAATTACATCTTTGTGGGGACTCTCCATTCATTTCTATGGGGGAAAACTCTAATCCCAACATGATGACCTTAACCCCCACCCAGCCCTAACCTTGACCATAAGTAATCAAACAAAATACAAGACTTTTGGCATTTTTACTTTTTTGATTGCATTCACTTTTTAAAATTGAGGTTATCCAAATGGCAACCTAAAAAAAATCCCCAAAAGTAAGGAAGTTTCAGGTTTTAATACACATTTTGGACATTTTGGTCCCCAAATGTGATCTGTGCAAACCCACAACACACACACACATTTTTATTCATATCTTCGTGGGGACTGTCCATTTTCGTGGCCATAATCCTAATTCATACAATAACAGCCTCAGCCCCTACCCAGCCCTAATCTTAACCATAAGTAACCAAACAGAATACAAGGCTTTAGGCATTTTTAGTTTTTGATTGCAGTCACAGATTTTTTTTTATAAAATTGACCACAAAATTATCTCTACAAGGTCAAAATAACAGGCGTTTATCACACTGTGGGGACATTTGGTCCTCACAATGTTATTTTTTTTATATATATATATATATATACACACACACACACACACACACACACACACACAC